GGACTCACCTAGACTTTGAATGTATTACTAATGAAGTATATTCTCCGCCAATCTATTGAAGTTCCCTCTATTGTTTTTTTTTAAATCTCAGCCTTGAAGAAATATCATTTGAATATTTAGTGAATTAATATAACTTAATTAGTAAATAATTAAACTTTTATCTAGTAGGAACATGAGTTTCAATTAGTATTGCAAACTCATCGGTTGTATGGTAATTTTGTTAGGTTGTTATTAGTGGGTTAGCCGAGATAATCTCTAACTTGCAATCAACTATTTAGTTGATTAATTGTGCGTTAGTAGGATTGTGGATGGTATTGGTTTATTTCTAATAATAAAGTTCATTCTCTCTGTATAGGTTAAAGAATCATTGCCAATGATAAAAAGTTGTGCTTATTTCAGCATTATTTTTAAGCATGAGCAGACTCTTTTTTTTGTTGATAGAAAGTTCGGTAATGTTATGTTGTTACCTATACCGACAATTGCGGTATACCGCAATATGTCATTCCGTTCATGGTTCGTCTTTTCAAAATATCGCCATATGTTGGTCGATTCACAATTTTATTAAAAAGTTTCTATAACCAAACCGCAACCACCCCTAGTTGGACTCATGTTTTGGTGAGGTTGATTGAAGCGGTGCCCAAGTTTGTTTGTTTGTTTTCATTCTTTTGTTTCCTTTGTGACCAATTGGTTCATGTCATGAATATCTCTTTAAGATTCTGCTATTGTTCGTGCATCTCACTCACATTTGGATTTTGGATAATTTTCTTGTTATCTTTTATACTCTTGTAAGGTGCTTCTATTTTATAGAGCATCTGTCCCCCCAAGAAAAAGAAGATGTTTCATACTCCTCGTCCATATCTTCTTCATATGCTATACTCCTTTGCAGCAGCAAAAAAAAAGGGAAGCAATGAAGGGGTTAAAGAGAAAGAAGTGGAGAGTATATGGCCCTCTTTTTAGAGATTGTCGTATATACCTAGTAGTGGAGATGAGCCACATGGTGTTGGTGATGAAAACATGCATGCAACTTGTTGAAAATTTTGAAGGTTTTGAGGATGATAAGGAAAGTGAAGATGGTGATGGTAGTGATCATGATATTTATGTATCTGGAGATGCTGTGAAGAGAACACTAGGTGTTCCCATTTACTGATGATGAGGATGATTTTAGGGTTTAGGTGTTGGTATTTTTGAAACTTAAAAGGGTGTTTGTGTAATTTCCAGGACCTCATAGGCCTAGGTTATATGAAAATCATAAAAACCTCAGGGGTGTTAGCTAGTGTAAATAACTCTTTTCTTTAATATAGGTGGGACAGTTATTCAATATAATTAATGAGCTTATTTTGAACCTTTTCATATCTCACGTTCCTTTAATTCTATATATATATATGGTAATGGTATGCTGAGTGGAGAGTCGATGTGGGGGAGGAGGAAGCATTCGTAATACGAAAAGCTAAAAGTAGGGGTGGGCACGGTACGGTATGGTACGGTATTGAGCCCGTACCGCTACCGATACCGGAATGATGACAGGCTGCCCTTGAACTTGAAATGGAGGTATTGCCGAACGGCACTTTAGAATTTTGTTGAGGTGGTTGTTTCACTTTTGGTCATGCGAGCCATGCAAAGTGATAGCCATATTTTGATTGGCTTTTCCTTAAAATATCATCTTCTGCAATTTGTTGCCTTAGCATTCATTGTTGCTCCAGCGTGGGATTGCCGAACGGCGACTTAGGTGATGCCGATTGTAAGGGGGCCGAAGGGCACTGAAGAAGGGAGAATGACAGAAGCTTTTTGTGTCGATTCCCACAGACGGCGCCAAACTGTTGACGCCAAAAAGTGGTTCAGCACTTTTTAGCCCAACTTAGAGATGAGGTATGATGATTGATGGGTGAAGGTGAGGACCTTCAACATGTGTGTGAAGATTTGGGCAAGCGATAAATATACAAAAGACAAGATATACGTGGTTCACCCTTAATGAATGGGCTACGTCCACGGAGAAGTATATTCTCATTATTATAGCAATGTGTATTTACATTTGTACAAGGGATTGGGCCCAAATATAAAGAGAGAAAGGGAGAAGCCCATGACTGAATACAAAGCCCAACCTAGGGGGGATCCCCTCCTAAGTGGAGAGTGGTCTCCTTTTATAGATGAGAGGGAGTCTTCCCTTCTTGCAATATTTCAATGTGGGAATCTTGGCCTTGCTTAGAATTGCTTCTAGTTGCTTGGTCAAATATGGTATAAACAACATATGCAATATCCATCAACATATTCAATAGAAAATTATATATCTGAATAATATTCGGTACGGTACGGTATTGATCGGTACCAAATACTTGATACCGCTATCATACCATACTCTATTGGTACAGTACGGTACAGTACTGAATATTGATCGGTACCGAATGAAACAATATGAAATCGGTATGGTACGGTTCGGTTAGGGTACGGTTTCGGTATTTCGGTTTTAGATGCCCACCCCTAGCTAAAACATAAGATTTTGTACATTAATCTCATGTTTTATTTGTGAATGGTTATTGTACGTAACAGAAAAGTATGACATAACAATCAAAGAACACAAGCTAAGCTTAAGCTAGCTAGTTTGAATTGAACAAGTGTATTGGTAAGGGGAAGAGAGGGTCAGGCTTTGGTATGATAAAGATTGCCAGAAATATACATATTTTGAAGAAATAAAAGACCAATCGATACGATAACCTTTTCCCCTGGTGGCGGTGGTGTCAAGTTGTCAAGTTGTCAAGAAGGTAAGGCTAGCAGAGCTAGTCAGAAGACAAGAGATGGATGTTCAATTCAATTGCCTCCTAAATAATATAAGCAAGTAAACCATCGCTCTCCTTGACTCTTTGGGGGTTTTCCTTTATCCCAAACCGCAACAAACTAATAAAGGACCTTTACTAGCTAGTGCTGCCCCCTTTTTTCATCTCAATTCTTATCCATTCAATTATATATGGAGAGAGAGAGAGAGAGAGAGAGAGAGAGAGAGATCCTTCTTTAATAAAAGCCATATACCCTCCATTATTCTTGCTTTACTCTTAACCCCATCTTCCTTATGCTGTACCTTGTTGAGCAACTATATATATATATAAAAGGACGGTCCTGCAGCATTGCATGCATATCCTTCCATATTATTCTAACTTTGCTTCAATTGGACAAATATTACCTACTAACTTTGTTTGTTTGTTTTATTTGATCAATTTCTACTAACTATCTCAGAGACAAATCTGGAAGCAAGGGCAACAGTAACATCTGGCTGGCTACAGGAAGAAATGGATTTGAGGAAAACACAAGATGGGGGTTTCAGATTTCCTTCACTTCCACGCATACTCAATTGGCAAACTTGTTTTTTCAAACCGTTGATTTCTTCTTATTTTTTATAATGTCATCTCATTTCTTAGGCTTTTTGTTTTTTATTTTTCTTAACCTGGTCTGGTTGGTTCCTGTAGTCAAAAACGCATGGGTTTGACTCTAAAAAATAAAGTCTGCATTTTTTTGTTGTTGCTTGAATAAATAAAATCTGCATATTTTCCGAGAGGTTGCCCCGTGCACACATGCAATTTAAAATTCCAAAATTCCCTTTCAACCTATATAATGATTTCGAATAAACCAGAAAGTTAAATCCTTTTTTTTTCTCCAAAAGGAACATGAATGTCTTATCTATACCTAATTATGTGGACTTCCTTACAATATGATATTTGCACTAATCATAATTGAACAACTGGTTATCCACTAAACCTTTACTTAATTAAGATCTTGAGAGATTTTATGGCTACTTTCCTTAGCCTATGCAATTTAACACGCATAATATTATATTTTCTGTTGCAAGGCCTAAGCAGCCAATGAGCATCACTACTCTGGCACTTATTCCGCAATTATATATATACAACTCATTTTGAACTTTAAAGTTTTGTTTGTTTTTTTGGGTATGATTTTGACCTCCATAGTTTTAAACCAGTACAATCTCATATTAATTATGAAAAACTAAACCAGAGTGGTAGGTTTAAATTTCTAGAGATATTATAATTAAGGATCAATTACAGTAAACCCCCAAACTATGGGGTTCATTACAAACTCATACCCAACCTTTAAAGACCCGTTTGACCGATATCCCAATTTATAAAAACCCTACAAATGACACTCTCCGTTACCCAGTCTGTTAGTAGATCTGTTAAATGTTTGATGTGGCAAATGTAAATCACATTTTTGAAGCTGATTTGAATTCTACATAGAAAAAAAAGAATTAAAAAATTGTAAGATTAAGAGCTTTCTTTCGGTGCTTTCCTTTGTAATAATATATAAGAAACTTCTTACGAATGACAAAGGAAGACGTGTACCTATTTCTCATAAATTAATGCCTGTTGTCCTCGATCGATGTGTTTATCCTGTGGACTAGTCTGTTGATCACTGGTTTAAAGGTTGCAGTTCTTCCTTAATACGGACGGTCATGATCGTACGTACATATAACATCATTGTTGTTCAGTTGCTTGATTTTATGATACAAATGCTCTGTCTGTTGTTGATTTTATGATACAATATACTCATATATATCAAAGTTATAAGCTATAAGCATGCAGTTAACACATGAAAAGAAAGTTATATATTAATTAATTACCACCATTTTGACAAATTAATTCATATGTCAATGTCATCATCTTATTGTGGGATAAAAAAACTTCCATGATTAGCTATAAGATGGCGCAATGGCATCTAAGTTTCTCTCATTTAGCTAACATGTCACTTTCCTTCCTTCCAGATGGTCAAAAGTTAAAAGCTAATTAGGGTGTTTCTTCCATGATTAGCTATAAGATGGCGCAATGTCATCTAAGTTTCTCTCATTTAGCTAACATGTCACTTTCCTTCCTTCCAGATGGTCAAAAGTTAAAAGCTAATTAGGGTGTTTCCCATTTTCAATCTGCTGGGCATGGTTAGTACAATCTCACTGTTTCTCACGCTAGCTAGCCTATATATATACAACTACTAGTGCCTCTCTCATATTGATTAACATAAGAGATCATTCGATATCGATATCGAAAATGCCATCTTCTTCTTCTTCTTCCCCAAATAATTACAATATTAAAATATTGGCAAGTATTTTGTTTGCCATATTATTAATCTTGTGTGCAGGTGCAGGATATGGTGAGGCCCAGCTGAGCCCTACGTTTTATGATGAAGACTGCCCAAATGCCACAAGCATTGTAAGTGCTGTCATTGAAGAGGCTTTGCAGACAGATCCCCGTATTGCTGCCAGCCTCACCAGGCTTTTCTTCCATGACTGCTTCGTCAACGTACATATACATATACTTTATTACATTATACAGGCATATGCATGCATATCTATATGCATCAAAAATCCTCTTACGTACATATATTTGGCCTGATATAATCTATTTAATTTCAGGGTTGTGATGGATCAGTCTTGTTGGACAACAGTAGTACCATAGACAGCGAGAAAGGAGCATTCGCAAATAACAACTCAGCCAGAGGATTTGATGTTGTGGACAACATCAAGACTGCTTTGGAGACTGCTTGCCCGGGCATTGTTTCCTGTGCTGATATTCTCGCCATTTCTGCTGAAGAATCTGTTTCTTTGGTACACACACACACACACACACATATATATATTTCAACAACAATACATACATATATATATATTTCAACAACAATACATATATATATATATATATCGATCTGTTCTTGAAATTAATTTTATGGTTGCAGTCTGGAGGCCCCTCATGGACAGTTCTATTAGGAAGAAGGGATAGCACAACAGCGAATCGCACAGCTGCCAACGAAGCCCTTCCAGCTCCCTCTTTCACCCTTGACGAACTCAAGGCCAGTTTCGCAGCTGTAGGCCTCGACACCACTGATCTGGTTGCACTATCCGGTAAGTAAGAAAAGAAAAAAAAAACATTTGAAGGAACTATGTACATATGTGTGTTGCTTTTTAGTGACAACATCTGACATGCATAACATAACAGGTGCTCACACATTTGGGCGTGCTCAATGTCAATTTTTCTCCGACCGATTGTATGACTTCAACAGCACAGGCAGTTCTGATCCGACCTTAAACTCAACCTACTTAGAAACACTGAGTGCGTTATGCCCGGAGTCCGGGAATGGGAGTGTGCTAGCCGATCTCGACCCTTCAACTCCTGATGTTTTTGATGCCGACTATTTCTCTAATCTTCAAGTTCATTATGGCCTTCTCCAAAGCGATCAAGAGCTGTTTTCGACCAGCGGGGCTGATACCGTTGACATTGTTGACAGCTACAGCGCTAATCAAAGCGCCTTCTTTGAGAGCTTTGTGATATCTATGAATAAAATGGGGAATATAAGCGTCCTGACCGGAACTGATGGAGAGATTCGATTGAACTGCAGTAAGGTTAATGGAGATTCATATGGATCATCTGCTACTTTGATAGCTGAGTATTAAGGTTATGTAAATCTAATCAAGCTTAATGCCTGATATGATGATTATGATGATCATGTCTATGACTTCATGTTCGAGCTTATATGACTACGAGCTCATCAATTTCTATGAAGGTTCTTGAATAAAACTACGACATGATTTACAATTATACTTGTTTTTTTTTTCTTCTTCTTCTACTTTTCTATAGAGATGCTTTTGTTTATGTGACTCAGGACGGACTCAGGATTCAAAAGCAAGGTGGGTTAACTTTTAGGCCAATTTTTCAAATCGAAAAGTTTCACTTGAAATTTTGGCGAGTCTACTTTGTTTTTATTATTTTATAGAATATTTATAAGGATGGAGGTGAGTGAAAAGTCACTAGTGGGGATAGAAGATGCATACACAATACAATATAGTTTGCATATAAGTAGCGGTCAATAATGGACACGCAGATGTGAGGTTGGAGTCACCTCAGTGGATTCTAAAAAATTTCCCAAGTTTTCGGTTAGACTGGCCTAAGTTAACTTATGTCTAATGAGCTGAGCATATAGTGTGAGGAACACCAGGGAGGCATCAGTAACTGCAATCCTGGTATCTCAAAGGAGATTTTCTCTCCTCCTCCGTTAAATTCTGCTTTTTGTAATTGGATGGATGAGCATCCCTCCTAAAAGGAAGTATGTATGGACTTCCTCATTTGGTCCCTTGGCTTCTACGAGTTGATTGGCAAAATTGCTTGCATCGTCTCCAACACATGTCATTTAAGATTTCTCATATCTTTCGTGAGGTAATCATGCTGCTGATGCTTTGGCGAATCATGGTGCTTTGGGCTCTGGTTTAATTTGGTGGGGTACTGCACCTTCTTTTATTTTGCCTTTTTGTCAGCAGGACTGGCTGGGCATGCCTAATTACCGGTTCTCCTAGGATCTTCTGTTTACTCTTTCAGAGTTTTGGTCTCTTAGGTCAACATGTTGTTGTGCTTTTCTGTCATTTTCCCTTCGGTCCACCCTGTTGTTCTTTTATGTTTTGTTTCTTATTAATAAATTATAATCAAGGGGACGGGCGGGGGGCTTCCAGAGTGTTGGTCCCCTCTTTGAGGGTGGTGGATGTTTGTGCATCCGATGACCGATATTGAGGAGCTAATCTCGCCTAATCCTTTGGTTTATTTAAAAAAAAAAAGTATGTATGTACTTAACGTATGAGTTACTTTTACAAGTCAAGGTATATACAAAAACCAAAACTCATTCAATCACGCGTGTATGTTGATGAGATTTATTCTCAAATTAAGACGTGTTTTACAATCAATGGCATTCTCATATCTCGTTTCCTTTAATTATGGCTTGCAGAGTGGAGAGTGTCGATAATATTGTGGGAAGCATTTGTAAACTAAAAGCTATAGCTACAAAGGGCGACATAAAAACGATTTGTACATTTCTTCTTTTATTTGTGAAATCGTTATTGTAACAGAAAAATGACATAAAAATACAGAGACTGACATAACAATCAAAGAGCACAATAACAAGTTTGATGAACTGTAATGGTCAGGGGAAGAGATGGCCCGCTTTCGTTTGATAAAATTTGGAAAAGATTGGCCTCAGTGAGCATATGAAGAGCCAAATACATTCTCAAGAAAGACCGATAACCTTTCCGGTAGTGGTGTCAATATCAATGTCAAGAAGCAACGCCTAGTCAGGAGAGATTGATGCGCAATTCCTTTTGTCAGTCATAAGACTAATGGGAGGAAGTGACTAACCGCTGCTCTTCCATCATCGGCATGATGGATACAAATAACTGCATCATATGCCCCAGCACCATAGACTTTTGTGTTTGATATATGCCTGGCCAAATTCACACAACCGGCCTCAACCAGAGCCACATTCTCAGTTATGCAGGCATACTACGCGGCTTCCCAGCAACAATTTCCAGCCCACCACCCTGCATTTTCAAGGCCCTTATAGTTGCAACTACAACTGCACAATGTGGCGTTGAACCACTATACTGGCAATTTATATTCATGAACTTCTCAGTATCAAAACCATCTTCTGTGACCACCAACCCACCTGAACCAACCAGTTTCAGTGCACAATGTTTGCAAAAGAACCAGCAGCATGAACAAGAACTTGAGTCCCTTCAAGAGTCTGCGTTAATGGATGGTTGATAGCATCCTTCATTAATTAGCATCATTAATGCACCTCTTGCACCAGGATCATCAACACTTTCTGTTTCCAATCACCATGTGTCCATCTCCGCCAGAAACGTCCGTAAGGGCCAATACTGTCATTATTTCAGTGTCAACCGAAGCATCAAATCATGTTTCCCTCGCCATTCCTTCCTCTTACCCTATCCATCTCCAGCCTTCACCTCTTTCCCACATGTGCAAACACAACTTTGCACTAGAGCACATTATCCCACCCCTTGCCTAACTACAACTTTTGTTCTTATCCTTCTTTACTATCTATAAGATCGAGAATACTTGTTGGATTTTCTCCATGTGATGATCTTTCCAAAAAAAAAAAAAAAACGCATACTACTTAATTTTATTTTCTCCATATCTAAAATGGTGTCCTCTGATTTTGTTGTTTCTTCTGTTTATATTGCTTCTGGTTACGTCTAAGGAGTTGAGCATATATAAGCTCGTTCCATGTATCAGGAACACCAGGGAGGCACCAGTGACTGCAATCCTGGATCATAGGTGGTTTTCTCTCCTCCTCCGTTAAATTCGGCTTTCTGTAAATAGACGGATGAGCATCCTTCCGGAAATCAGTCATTGTTGTAATGTTCAGATAGAAGATTGGCGTCTTCATTTTCTTGACTACTGAGTCCAAGATTTTCATGTTCGATGGATATTCACCTCCATATTCCGTAGATTCCATGTTTGTAGTTGGCTTTGTCTCTCCATGACAATGCCCTCCAGAATTCCATTCTCCACCTCTGTGAAAGGGGAAAAAGATTATGAAGATGCAATACATTTGTTAACCAACCATGCGGTTCTGAAAGTCAAAGTACTTCATGTGTTTAATGTACCTAAAGTGAGAAGGTGAATAGCCCCTGAAGAAAACAGCAGTTTTCTTAGGATTTACATTGGTGTCCACCCATCTTGCCCATGTCGTTAAAGCTTTCTCAAACGCATCGTCGACATTCAATTCACCATATACATGGCTACCCTCTTGATAGTAACCCTTCCTGCAAGATAATTAAATAATGTAACTTTCCAGCCCAGTTTCCTAACATCAATGACATGGTGTGAAAGGGAGCATGAGTCTTACCCACTGGAAGTTTTCTCATGAGTCCACCAGTGACCTGTGTTAAAGATGAGAACATCTGCATTTTTGTAGTTATCAGAGGATCTCTCAATCAAATCAATGCGAAGTGTTTCCTTTTTCGATCCACTTGGTTCTGGCATCTCCCATTCTTGAACTAGAAATCGCGATTGAAAGAACTCCACTGAACAATTATAATCCTATTGATCCATTCAAGAACAAATACATAGAAACTACTTTAGACTAGCAACACCAAACAAAAGAAGGAAGAATTCATCAGGCTATAAATTCCAAATGAGAGATGATAGATGATGAACAACATACCTCGAATATAAAAGAGTAAGAACCCTCCGTACGAAATTCTTCCCTACCAGAGACTTCATAAACTTTGCTCTTATTATCCACTGAATTTCTAAGAATACAAAGCAAAGACTCCCACATATTCCTATTGAGAGAATCACCAACAAAAACTAGACGCTTTCCTGTCAATAGTCTCAACATCTTCTTACCATTCAACCTGCACAAGACCAAAACCAACATCACTAAAACGGAACCAACAAGCTTTTCGAAGTTCACTTGCAACATAATAACCAATTAGAAGCAAAACCATTCTCGGAAATTACCTCAAATTAGAAGTCAAAGCAAATAAAATATAGCAGAAACAAAGCACGCTTAAACTAGAAGTGAAAACAGTTCTGCAAATTACCTTGGGATATTGCAATGTTTGGGTTGCCATCTATACCTCTCGTAACCATTATCAGGCCTACCGTTAAGAAAACAATTGAAAGGCTCATCTATAAGAGGGCAAGACCCCGGAGCATAAAGTGGGTACCAATTATCTCTCACCCAACTTCCATCAAATATGTCACAAGCATTCATCAACTCAGACTTCAATTCAGTTTGTTTGCCTTGCTTCTTAGACGAGGCCTTTCTACCATCATTTTTCTTTTTCGAACCATGTTTTCCATTGGACTCTTTAGAAGAAGAATGAGAACGCACTTTAGAATCTTTAGGCTTCTTTGTGTCCTTTCTTTTCTTGGAGCCCTCCACTTTCCTGGAAAATTCGATTTCGGTGTTGCTGGAAGTCTGATTGGCGGATTCTGAGAACAAGGAAAGAATTGGGTTGGATGATTGAGCATCCTCATTATAATTTCCCTTCAAGCTTTCATTTTTCACCTCATCAACCTTCAAACTTGCAATCTCATCCAAATGTGGTGAAGAATTAGGTTTCTGGGCAAAAGGGTCAACTTTCCGGGAAAGCTCCAAATGGGCATTTGGGTTCTGAGGAGAAGAGTTGAAGGAGGCATGCAGGATGCTCTTGAAGCGCAGAGGAAGAGGGTTGAAAACCAAGAAGAAAGTGCAGGCAATGACGGCGAATGTGAATGCATAAGTAAAGGCCATGGATTTTCTTTTGCTGAACAAGATCGAAAGCAGAGAAAAGTTGCTGGGGTCTATTTTTGTGGGCGATGAGTGCTTTGTTGAAGGTGGGCTTGTATTGCTCATGGCCGCTGTGGAATCTGGAACTGTGATATGCGCAACTGAGGGCCGAGGAGAGACAATTGTCATCGACTCGGCTATTAACCTTGTGTGCAATTGGTGCCTTGTTGGATTGGATTGAGGAGAATCCGCCATTGTTATATAACTCGGTGTTTTTGTTGCTTCTGTAACTCAACAATAAAAACTAACTGAGGGCAGGGAAGAAGGGTGTGATGTGAGTCTGCTTTATGACAACCCTGACTTGCCTGAAAATAGAGAGAAAGAGATGGTAGAGAAGACACAACGGAGTTTTGGGTTTGGTTGATTTCAATTGTCGTGAGAATTCATGCCACTTTTCTGGTAAGTTGTGGTTAAGTAGTTAACTAAGTTCAAGACATGTGCTATTTTTGGAGATAAGCAGGCATGTGAGATTCTGTTCTGTTTGCTTGTTTTTTATTTTCTGTTTTTTCAGTTGTTCGTTGGAAGATCAACTGTTTCTTTTTGTCTTCTTTTTTTGACTTTTTATTTATTGGGAAGCTGCTAAATCCACCACCTTTTTGGACTACATTAATTAACTACATGATGCAATCAATTATGACCTGTAATTGGTGCTATTTTGAACTTTATAATTTGGATTCTCAGATGCATCTAATAAAGTCAAAAAATAATTTTATAATTATTATTCATCATAATACTCTTACCTATTTTTATGATATGAACACATGCATGATTTAATTTGCTAAGCAGTGATTAACGTAAACACCAAATGTGTGGTTGTACAGAAACAACTCTTATAATAGAATAAATTATTCATCGGGTTAAAAAACACAATAAGCTAGTTATCAACCTCAGAGATTTCTTTATTTGTGAAATCGCTATCTAGTAATACAGAAAACTGGCTCAAGAAGCAAAAAACACAATTTCAGAAGTTTGAAGAACTGTATTGGTAAGGTTGCCTCTGTGAGCATAGGGAGAGCCAAACGCAGAATGACATTCAAGAAAGACCAATGACCCTTCCGGTGCTGGTGTCAAGATCAATGTCATAGAAGCAAGGACGAGTCGGAAGACCCGGCATTGTACTCATTGTTCCCACCAAAGGATATATAAATCCAGCTCCAATGCTAGCCCTTACATCCCTTATTGGTAAGACAAATCCGGTGGGGGCTCCTTTCTCAGAAGCATTATGTGAGAATGAATACTGGGTTTTTGCCATGCATATTGGCAGACCAGAAAACCCCTGCTTGCTGTACATCTCAATCTGTTTCTCAGCCTACTCACACAAATGAAGAAAACTCATATCAATAAGCACGTTCAGTATACTTCTATTACAAGAGTTTTTCTTCAGTGATGCCAAGAATAAAATGAAAGGAGAAATGAGAAAGTATGTCTACCCTCTCTAGAAGAATCAAGTTCTGTTTGCAGCACAATACATAGTTTTTTTTTCAATGAGAAAACCAAGGCAAATAGTTGCATTCATTGGTAATTTGTCTATCAATGAATCAAAATTAAATTAACTCCAGATATTGAACTTCAAGGATCTCACAATTAGAGAGAGAGAGAGAGAGAGAGATCAAACCAAATAGTGTGACTTGAATTTTGAACATAATAACAGATGAGCTTACCTGCTCTGAGTATTCAACACCGCTTGCACCATATGACCTGGCTATTGCCTCTATCTTCTCTTTAATACTAAAATCCAAAGGATATAGAAACTTCAATGGTTGTGTAACATTCTCACAGGCTCTTTGGACTGCAATCCCTAGGTCTACCTGAACATCACAATATACTTCATCAACTATGCAGACCATTTATGGCAGTCTAGAGAAATACAAGGAGCAAGTTATACATGCAGTTTCCCGGACCAATGGCAGCTCCAGCCTTCAACGGATGTAGACATTGGTAGATTTTCTAATTTTCTTGATATTTATTTCTTTGCTATAGTTGAAGGTATTTTTCATTCTAAGATGTGCCTATTGTCAGAGATGTAATGGTTTGAAAGGAGGTGAGAGAAAGCAACAATACAAGCATAGTTGAATACAGTTAAAATCACAATTCAAGAAAAGAAAAAGAAAAAAGACATTGAAGCCTAAGCACATGATGGAATATCTTTGAAGAACTATGATTCATCATACGCTGCCAAGAGTACTATTAGGCTCCAACAGCATGTAAAAGAAAGATGAAGTGAAAGTCTAAACTCGGTTTATCCTGGGAGTAAAACTGGGATTGCAAATTGTAGTGGGGTGTCCACTGCAAGCAAGAAGAAAAAGCTTCTGCATTATGCAATAAGGTAATTCTAGAGCTCACAAAATGCTTAGTGTAGATCTTAAAATTTTTGTACTCTCTCACATAATTTCTATATGCTTCAAGAGAAAGAAATTGATTTCTTTTAGTCAACAAAAACTAATTAGTTAAAGGGATATATGACTAACCGCTCCTTTTCCACCATGGGCATGGTGAGTACAAATAACTGCATCATATGCCCCAGCAGCCAATGCTGAATTTCTAACTGCATTTAGTTCTGCTTCACTGTCAGTCGAGAACTTGTTCACAGCAACAACAACATTCACACCATAGGCTTTAGTGTTTGAAATATGCTTGGCCAAATTTATACAGCCTGCCTCAACCAAAGCCACATTCTCAGTTACATAGGCATTGTTAAGAGGCTTCCCAGCAACAACATCCGGCCCACCACCATGCATTTTCAATGCCCTTATGGTTGCAACTATAATTGCACACTGTGGTGTTAAACCACTATACCGGCATTTTATATTCATGAACTTCTCAGTACCAATATCAGCACCAAAACCAGCTTCTGTGACCACAAACCCACCTGGTCCCACCAGTTTCAATGCAATCTTATCAGCCACAATAGAGGAATTCCCGTGCGCAATGTTTGCAAAAGGACCGGCATGAACAAGAACCGGGGTCCCCTCAAGAGTCTGCATTAACGTAGGGTTAATAGCATCCTTCATTAAAACAGTTAATGCACCTCCTACGCCAAGATCATCAGCAGTTACAGGGTCACCAGCCTTGCTGTTTCCAATCACCATTTTCCCAAGCCTCTCCCTCATATCTGCTAGAGATGTTGTAAGGGCCAAAACTGCCATTATTTCACTGGCAACTGAAATATCAAATGCTGTTTCTCTCACCATCCCTTTCTCATCAGGGCCTTGGCCAATTGTAATCTTCCTCAAGAACCGGTCATTTATGTCCATTACTCTTCGCCATGTGATAGAATCTGGGTCAATATCAAGCCTAGCAAATTTCTTAACTTCTTCTGGGGTAAGATCCTCAGGACTGGTCTTGGAGATGCCAAGCTTCGTCAGACGTCTAAACATGATGTCATTAAAGCTCCGTTTCCCTTCTTTGTTTGGTGGACATAACCGGTTCATTAGAGCCTTATCTGATTGTGTTGCCTCATGGAAAATCCGAGTATCAATGGCAGCAGCCAGAAGATTGTTTGCAGCTGTAATTGCATGAATATCCCCTGTTAGGTGAAGATTAAACTCATCCATTGGGATCACTTGACTGTAACCACCACCTGCTGCACCCCCTTTAATTCCAAAAGTTGGTCCTTGTGATGGTTGACGAAGGCAAGTAACAACCTAATGTCATAAAATAAAAAGGGAGAATAGGTGATCGGCATTGAGAAGCAGTACTAAGGAAAGCTGGACAAGTCTCTACCTTTGGCAGGACCAAACAAACTGCATTATTACAAGAAAGATGAACAACAAAGGAGATAAATACAAGGCATGCTTGAAATACTTTGCTCTACATTTTGAATAAGACAAAATGGAATCAATGAACTGATTTCTTATCTTATCCAGTTCCCACTTATCTACAGGATTCTCCTTCGTCATAAAACATACTCTATATCTTCAGATGCAGAGTGAACAGGATTCGTATCAGAGAAAATTCAAAAACCAGCAGATAAAGTTGCGTATGCATCTTGTTATTAATGCTTGACAGTCTAATACTCAGTGGCGTTTTTGCTCACCAATTAAACACTCCAAACTCAGCATTAACATTTAAACTCAGTTTCTTGATAAGAAAAACAAAAGCAGCCCCAAGTATAATCAATAACAAACAGCAAGTAATCAATTTAAGAATTGCTAATTCCATTTTTTTTCTTCTTTTGATAAGCCAATTCGTATAAATGAAAATATGGACATAGCATTAGGTGCATAACAGATTGTTGTATCTTAAAAAATCCAAAAGATAAAACAAATTTTCTATCAAAAACCAAAAAGGAAAAAAAATTTCACCTTCTTATCCTGAAAAGCACCCAGAGCTTGACAGAGTCCAACAGTAGTGGTAGACTTGCCTTCTCCGAGAGGGGTAGGTGTAATTCCTCCAACCACAACATAATACCCATCATCAGATCCTTTCAGCTCATCAATCACAGACAACAGAACCTATAAATACACCCAACCCAATACGCACAAATTATATGCCCACCCAATGACCAGGTAAGAGAAAACAAATAAAAAAGTAATTACATATCAATGAAGCAAATGAATGAAATGGGCACCTTGGCCTTGTATTTTCCATAAAGATCATAGTGCTTGGGACTGAGATTGAGGTCCTTGGCAATCTCAGAGATGTGGAAAGGCTCGACAGAGTTGGCAATGTCTATGTCTGCTGGCACCGGCGACGCCACCTGCAGCTGCCTCACTGTCTTTAACGACGACGAAGAACTCATTTTGGGCTCCGAGAAGAAGATGTCAAATCTTTTGGCTTCGTTTTTTCTGGGTGTGATCTCTTTTATTTGGTTTCTCTTGGCACTGGTTTCGGTGGACTCGTTGAAGATGATGAAGTGGAGAGGTTGAGTTTTGAGGAACATTGATTTGAGTGCGGCTTTTAATACTTAATTCTTATCCTGCGGGTCCGGGATTCTGAGCTGCTGGGCCAAATGGATGGTGAACCGGATAATGTCACATGTGGTATTGTATCTGAGATGAAATCTGAGCCGTTGGATTAGAATTTCAGAGGATTGGATGTGTGGGGCCCACCTTATACTGTCATACATGCGTAGACAAATACCTTATTTATGTACAATACAATCTCATCGCATCTTCAACAAAGACTAAGGTCTTTACTTAAGTTATGCAACTCTAACTCTGTTTTATAGTGGTATTTGTCACGTGACGGGGCTATCCCTCCCGAGTCCCGACTAAGTTAAAACAGTTATAATAAACACAATTAAATCCATTTCTCAAATCACAAGCATGCTCAAATTATCGAGCGAAACAATGGCAGAGAGTTACCCGAACGCCACTATATACTGACATGACACTGCCTGATGATCAAACAATACATAAGGCAAGATATCCGAATACTGCAAATCGGGCAAGATATCCAAACCATGACCGATCATCACTACTACAGGCAATATGTGTAACACATTCGGCGAAATTCAATTTATTTAGACAATAGTATATGGAAAGAAACCAAAACCAGCAACTTGGGAAACAAGATTAAATGAATTAATGGTATTACTATAGAGCTGGTATTGCTAAAGTTTCACAGCTCAAACAAGAGTTAACAAGTGAGAATGTGATTTAAAAGATTAGATTGAAAGAGTCTGAACAAATGAGAAGGCTCACCAGATCAATGAGAGACGTTCGGACCAGCCAAATGCTTGGTGTTATGATCTGACTGTAAGAATTAAGAACCACCACAAGAACGCAAGAGAAAATGGAAAGTGAAAAGAAATGTGGGCAAGAATTGTAAGAGTTAAAGGAAGAAGATGAGGGACTGTGAAGGAGGAAAGGGCATGCACTTGATGAACAAGTGGCAACCTCAAACATTGCCATTTAGGCCCAAATGTACATGTGTTGTCATTGAGGGTAGAGAATTTGGTAGCTTAGGAAAAGGAAAGGTGCATGCATATTAGACATACATATATATATATATATATAGAGAAAGATGTTCAACATACTAAATCAATAGCCAACGGCATTACATTGAAATATTTTTGAGTGCGAATGTCACACTGAAGAATTTCTCGACTACTAAGTGAAGGAAAATAATTAATCAACGCCACTACATGTCACATTATATTGTAAAATTCTTGAATACGAATGTGAGACTGAAATGAGGTCTAAGATATATAATTAAGCGCACAAGCCATATAAACTGCATTCATAATTCTCACGACAAACGGGGCATGAAAGCTGAGAAGTGAGCCAAAGATTAGTGCAGGTCAAATGGAAGGTGTGGTTGCATGAAGGCACAACGCGGCAGCAGTCACCATTCACGAAATCTTCAAAGCAAATATCACACTGCTTCTGCTGGCAACTGCATCTTCTGTAAATTGTGGGCTTGGGGGAAACAAGAAGACGAACAAGTGAAGCAATTAGCAGAAGGAGAAGTAGGGTTCCATTTGAGATTACTTTATGGGAAAGTTTGTTAATTGCCTCCATTCATGCCTTGATCATGATCTCTTGATTTTCTTTCATTTAATTTTTATCTTAAAATTAAAGAATCCTTATTTGTGAGTTAAAGTCAGCAATTTCGGATATTGATCATATTTCATTCACACAGGTGGATTACAATTAGGAGATCAATTGTGATTGATTATAATTGTAATCTTTAATTACCATCACATATCTTTTTTTAGGGAAATTAATGTTTAATTCAATTTCAATTCATGTTCTTTTTTTGTCAGTGGGAATATGTATACTTGAGTTTTCAATATGAGGCGTTGACGCATGTGTCTGATCCTTTTAATCTAGGGCCACTGATATTTGGGCAACCAGATATTTCTAGGACAAGTGGTGTAGGCTCTCGGAGTAAAAGGGGAAGAGAAGAAGAGGAGATCGGTGTGGGAGCAAATTTCCTCCCACGAGAATATTCGGTTGACAATTCCTTCGTCTTCTCCGCTTCTCTTTCTCCCTGCAAAATGAATAGCAATAAGAGGACCACACCCGGGGGGTGTTGGCCAAAGGCCCTCCGATGCCTAAGTCAGTTCAATCGATCTATAGAGAAACGATAGCTAAAATAGGGTACGGGAATATGTATGTGTGGTGAAAACTGGGTGGCCGGAGCTGTGAGTGGTGGCCGGAGCCTTGTGTAAAAGGGAGAGAGAGAGTGGCGGCTAGGGTTTGTGAGATTGTGGGTTGTGATTACTGGTATTAATGTATGATTGGATGCAGCTAGCTTCTTTATCAAACCAGCATCCTCATGAAAGGTTGGATCTCGTACGCTTGCGAGATACAAGAGAGGTATTGCACTTTTCTCCCCTCTTAACATTGGGAATTTTAGGTGCACGTGGGTATGGTATGTATATGAATGAGATGCTACTTCTCATCTAACACGTTGTTTGAAATCTCATTTAGGATAGTTAGTGTATATATCAATGCCATATGACCTCAGATACCTTCAATTTATTTCAAAACTCTTCTCTTCATTGTCTCATTAGACTGTTTTGTATCCAATGTTTTATCTACAGAGAATACAATGCGAATTGATATATCTCATAGTAGAAGAGCAGGGTTGTCAAGTGCAATGAGAAAAATGTTGTCATTGGATTTAGTTCATAATTACGACGGAAACATTTTAGAAAGTAAATTCTTACATAAGCAATTTTATAGTATGAAATTCAAGATTATTTTATCCTCAAAATGTTGGTGGATCCCTATTTTTTGTTGTTGTATTTATGGGTTTAACCCGTATTATTTCTTATAAATAAAATCCAGTTTTTTTATTCTTGCTAAATGGGCAAATAGCAGGAAATCATTAGAATAGGAGGTATCGAAAAGAATTTAAATTCTCATTCTCTAATGTCACTGGTATAAATAAATAAAAAATTGAAGAAATAACTCTATCCAATACTGGTTAAATATATGATTTTAAAGGTATAGCCGCGCGGCTATACTCTGAATATATTCGAATATTTTTAAAATATAGCCGATCGGCGATACCCTTTAAATATATTCGATACAAACCCAAGCTTGCACTCGCAGTCAGCCATTTTGCCTCTCTGTTAAGCGCTTGCAAGCTTCAAAGACTCGGGTCTTGAGCCTCTCTCTCTCTCTCTCTCAACTGAAGCTTCGATTTATTTTTTCTTTTGTTTCGGCTGTTGCTTTGATTGGATTGGATTGGATTCTCTCTATGAAAATCATCAAATGTCATTCAGCTATTGAAATCTCCACCAAGATAACAACTCTGATGCTATAAGGCAGCTAGGCTGCGTCCGGGCAGCCTGGGCGGATCTAGGCGGCCTGGGCGGTTCTAGGCGGCCTGGGAGGTTCTAGGCGGCGTCTAGGTGGCCTGGGCGAGTCTGGGCGTTCTTTTTTTTCCAAATGAAGACGGACAAAGCTTGCACTCGCAGTCCAATCTTCAAAATTCAAATACTCGGTCTTGAGCCTCTCTCTCAACTCAAGCTTGGATTTTTTTCCTTCGGTTTTAGGCTGCTGCGTTGATTCGATTATTTTTTGTGCTTTTCTGTTATTGAAGTTGGCAACGTCAGATGAACATCCAAGGCGGTTTCTTAGTATGCCAGAAGAAGCCCAGCAGATGGTTCTTTAACCTGAGGCACACCTTGCAGTTTGGCATTGGATTACACCATGCCGGTCTGAATGACAAAGATAGATCTCTGGTTCAGGCATTTCTGTTTTACCTCAGTAAGCATGAGTCTTTCCTGAGAAACACATTAGGAAAAGAGAATATAAAAAGATCATTTTCTTACTCTATATACTGATTAGGCATATATATTAAATTATAGGTATTGGTTTGTACCAGCACATTGGCTTGGGGCGTAAACCTTCCAGGTCATCATCTGGTCATTATTAAGGTAAGGTAAAATTTGTGCGGTATCTTTTTCATTTGGTTCCTATATTTACAAAGGTTTCTAGCAGGAGTATATTGCAGCAGCTGTTCTTCATGACAAATTTAAGTAAGTGTTGATTCTCTTTTGCAGCAGCTGTTTCTAGCAGGAGTATATTGCAACAGAATATTATGATGGGAAAACAAAGAGATATGTTAATTTTCCAATATCAATCACAGATATATTGCAACTGATGGATTTGGTCACACATGACTATATAGAATAAAATTTGGAAAGAAAGAAATATGTGAATCAGATTACATGCTTTTCTCCCTTTATAATCAACAGTTGCTCAGATTCTACAAGAAATATGGGAGTAGATGTCTATCACAATCCGCCTGCGCCTAACAAATCATGTTACTTTCTGAATATGTGCCTCAAATACTAGGAATTAGGTTGTTTGGGGTTTTGAATATCAGAAAATCTAATAAAGTCAATGGATGAAGTCTTGCAGTCCTATATCTAATCAATAAACCATTTTCCTTTTTATTTTTTCAATACTCTACACCTAACTTTTTTTTGCTGTTCAAGTTCAGAACGCCTATCATTTGCATTGCTGCTGTGGCAATGATCCTCTTGTACTTAAATGAGGTGAAGACACAAGTTAAAAGCCTTTGGTTTTTATTATTTTGTGTCCTTAGTATTTGATTTATTGAGCCTGTACAAAATCTTACATGAGCATAGTTTTCTGCAGATGTTTAATCCAGCTTACTATGGCTTGGACAATACTTAACTTGAGTTTGATATAAAGTGGATATGGACCGCTTAGATGATCCACATGTCGAAGCCAACCTGCTATTTCAGGTCAGAGTTGTCTTCAACTATATGTTTTTCGAATAAAAACTTCATGTCGTTTTCCTTTTTAGTTCTCTCATCGTGTCATTCTCTTACCACGCATGAATTCTGCATTCAGGCACATTTCTCGCAGTTAGGATTACCAATCAGGGACTATGTCACAGACTTGAAGTCAGTACTGGATCAAAGTATGCTAATCATCCAGGCCATGATGGATATATGTGCTAATAGTGGGTGGATTTCAAGCTCAATTACTTGCATGCATCTTCTGCAAATGGTCGTGCAGGTACTCTTCTTAGTAGTTACAATTCTGACTTCTTAGTAGTAGCACTTGCCTAG